TCATGGGCATATTTACTCACAGACTTGCAAAATGGCTGCCACACATCTGTCTGCTGTATTAGACCCTGCTGGTGCCCACGAGAGGATCACAGAGGTGGAAAACATCCACTCTGCATTACAGAACTCAATAACCTTTGAGGATGAGGCCATGGACTTCACCCAGGAGGAATGGGCATTGTTGAATTCACATCAGAGAAAACTGTACAGAGATGTGATGTTGGAGAACTACAGAAACTTGGCATCTCTAGAAAAGCAGCTCAGCAAACCCACTCTGATCACCCAGATGGGACGAGAAGATGAAACTAAAACAGAGACAAGAAATCACCAAGATAACTGTTCAAATGGGATGGTTCTCCTTAAAACCAAACAATCACAACATAAACAAAATATTTTGGAGAAGGAAGCACTCAGTGGCAAGAAGGAGTAAACTCATGGAGGCAGATCCATTGAACAGAATAAAATTGCCTTAAGCATGAAATCTAGTATTACTCAGAATCAGAGAATTTATCCTGGAAAGAAACCCCATCAACCCTTTCATCTTGGGAAAGCCCTCAGAGATTGTTCACACCTTAACCCACATGAGAGCATTCTTTCTGGGGAAAAATTCAATGACTGTAAAAATGATAAAAATACCTTCATTAGTCCTTTCTTAGATGTACACAAGAGACAACATACAAAAGAGAAATCCTATGAATGCACTGACTCTAGGAAAGATGTGCACAAGAAAATGCATGCTGGAGAGAAACCATGTACATGCAATGAATATGGGAAAGCCTTCAGGGATCACTCACGCCTTAAAGAACATGTGTGAATTCACACTGGAGAGAAACCTTTTGCATGTAATCAGTGTGGGAAAGCCTTCAGAGTGAAATCTTTCCTCACTTTATACAAGAAAATTCACATGAGAATGAAACAATATGAATGTAAGGAATGTGGGAAAGCCTTTGGTGGTCTCTTACCTCATAGGGGACATATGAAAAAGCACACCAGGGAAAAGAAATCCTTCAAGTATAGCGAGCATGAAAAAGTTTTTAGGAGGCATGTGTCCCTTACAATACACATAAGAACTCACACTGGAGAGAAACCCTATGAGTGTGATCAATGTGGGAAAACCTTCAGTGGAAGGTGTAATCTTACTGTGAAAAGAGAGTCCATATTGGCAAAAAGCCCTAACAATGCAATGTCTGTGGACACGCTTTCAGTAAGCTCTCATCCCTTCAGCGGCATCATGAGAGCACTCATGCTGGGTAAAACTTCTAGTAATGTTCATATGCAATAATTTTTAGTGAACTGTCATTCTTTAAGGCATAAAAGCAAATGCGAACTGCAGAGAAAAACTGAATATAAAGAATGGGAGAAAGCATCTGAATAACAGACCTATGGGAGAAATATGTTATGCAATGACTGTGATAAATCCTTTATTCATCCCTTAGATATGTGACCACTTGATGCTGAAAGTAAAAACTTATAATGTCTTCAAGGCTTGTCACTTGAGAAAAATAAATGCCTAATGTTTTAAGCCAAAAAAAAAAAAGACACATAGATCAATGGAATAGAATGGAAAACCCAGAAGTAAACCTACAATTATTTGGCCAATTAATCCTCAACAAAGGATGAATGAATATACAATGAGGAAAAGACAATCTCTTCAACAAATGATGTTGGGAAAACTGGACAGCCACGTGCAAAAGAATGAAGCTGGACCAGTTTCCTTCACCATACACAAAAATAAATTCAAAATGGATTAAAGACCTAAATGAGAGACCTGTAACCATAAAAATTCTAGAAGAAAGCACAGCCAGTAATCTCTTTGACATTGGCTGTAGCAACATTTTTCTAGGTATGTCTCCTGAGGCAAGAAAAATAAAAGCAAAAATAAGCTATTGGGACTACATCAAAATAAAAAGCACACAGAGAGAAAAATACCATATGACTTCCCTCATGTGTGGAATTTAAGAAACAAAATGGATGAACATTCAGGAGAGGGAAAGAAAAGAGAGAGGGGGGAAACAAATCATGGGAGACTCTTATGTATAAAGAGCAAATTGAGGGTTGTTGGAAGGAGGGCAGTGGGGAATGGGATAGATGGGTGATGGGTATTAAGGAGGGCACTTGTTATGATCAGTGCTGGGTGTTATATTCAAATGATGAACCACTGAACTCTACTCCTGAATCCAATATTAAACTGTATGTCAACTAACTAGAATTTAAATTAAAAAATAAAATAAAAAGCTTCTGCACAGCAAAGGAAACAATCAACAAAACTAAAAGGCAACCTACAGATTGGGAGAAGATATTTGCAAATGACATCTGATAAAGGGTTAGTATCCAAAATATATAAAGAACTTATACAACTCATCACCCAAAAAACAAATAGTCCAATTAAAAAATGGGCAGGGGCACCTGGATGGCTCAGTCCCTTAAGCATCTGACTTTGGCTCACGTCATGATCTTGGGGTCCTGGGATTGAGCCCTGCATTGGACTCCCTGGTGAGCAGTGAGTCTTCTTCTCCCTCTCCCTTTGCCCCTACCCCCTACTCATGCACTCTCTCTCTCAAATAAATAAATAAATAATGGACAGAAGACATGAACAAACATTTGTCCAAAGAAGACATACAGATGGCAAACAGACACATGAAAATATGTTCAACACCACTGATCATCAGAGAAATGCAAATCAAAACCACAATAAGATATCACCTCACACCTGTCAAAATGGCTGAAATAAGAACTACAAGAAACAACAAGTGTTGGCGAATGTGGAGAGAAAGGACCCCTCTTGCACTGTTGGTGGGAATACAAACCGGTGCAGCCACTGTGGAAAACTAAGGAAGTTCCTCAAAAAGTTAAAAATAGAACTACCCTGCAATGCAGTAGTCACACTACTGAGTATTTACTCCCAACATACAAAAACACTAATTCAGGGGAATACGTCCCCCTATGTTTATTGCAGCATTATTTATAGTAGCCAAACTATGGAAGCAGCCCAAGTGTCCATTGATCAATGAATGGATAAAGAAGAGGTGGAATACGATTCACCCATAAAAAAGAATGAAATCTTGCCATCTGCAACAACATGGAGAGAGCTAGAGTGTATAATGCTAAGCAAAATAAGTCAATCAGAGGAAGACAAATACCATATGACCTTACTCATACGTGGAATTTGAGAAACAGAACAAATGCACAAAGGAAAAAAAAGAGAACATAGAGATTCTCTTAAGAATCTATAAGAATAAGTGTTCTCTTAACTATAGAGAATAAACCGATGATTCTCTCAGAGGGTGGGTGGGGGAATGGAGAGAATGGTGGGGGAGAAGGGGAAGGATGCAGTAAGAAAATTAACCATAAAAAACCCATAAAATGTAGTAAGAAAATTAACCATAAAATTAACCATAAAAGCTGCCTGATGAAAATCCGATCCCATTAGTTTAATTTAGGAAAGTAACAGTCAAAACAACTTCATCTAGCAAATGCAAATAGTGATAGTATCTACCTTATTAAGGATTGAGGCTTAAATAAGATAATGCATATAAAGTGCTTAGTATAGTATCTGGTACTCTAAAAACTTAATAAATGCTAGCTATAATCACTCCCCCTACTCTCCATGCCCTCTCTCACCTTCACCTCACCTCAGTCCCAATCTGCTTCACCTCTGAAATTTTAACTCCTATGTTCTACTCTTTGACCATAATATGCTTTTCTCTGATCATTATTCCAGCTTTTACTACCTTATCCTACCATAATTTTAATTTTACTTCCTTGATATTCCTAAACCCTTGACCCTCCCATTTCCCCCCCAATTTATTATTACTCTCGGGCTTTACTTCTAGCTCTACTTTTTTCCCTATCCATCACAAAATCTCATAGTCCGCAAATTTAATTATACTGCCTTGGGTTTTGTTAAACCCTAGAGGTCTATCAGTCATAGGATCTGAAGCCAGAAAAACTGGGTTCAAATTCTAGCTCTGTTACTTACTAGCTGTGAGAAATGAGCAAGACGTTTATTCTTTTTTTGATATATATAGAATGACAATTGTTAGAATTAAATGCAATAATGTATATAAAACTTTCACCATACAGGCTACAAATATTAGATCTTCAATAAATCTTAGTTCCTTTCTCTTTTTCACATTCCCTTCAGTAACTATTCCAAAATTTCATCTTTTTATTCAAACTTTCATTTACTCTCTTTCTCCCAATAGCTCAGCAGATGACTTAATTTCCTATTTCATAGAGGAATTTGGAGCCATTAAGTCAAGACTCCTTTAATTTCCTCTAAGTCACTTGTAATTTAATCTGCATTAGTATTTCTTTCCAGTCTTGGTTGAAGAATCTCCCTTCTGTCTACGGCTTAATGTTCCACCTCAGCTCAGAAACCATTAATCATCACTTCTCTCTTTCTTCTGTACTGTTTCTTCCTCTTCTATCCCTATTGACCTTTTCCCTTCACGTATAAACATTCAAAAGCTTCTTCCTTCTTCAAGACAAACCCTTTATTATTCCTCATGGCCAAGCCTCTTGGAACAGTTGTTCACTCTCGTTATCTCTGCTTTCTCACCTCCTATTCACTTTCAACTCACTCCAATGTTACTTCTGCCCATACATTCTTCCAAAACTTCTCTCAGTAAGGTCCACACTGATCTCCAGATTACCATGGCCAATGGATACTTTCCTATATTAATGACAGTTTGTCAATCCCTCCCTCACTCTTGTAATTCTTTTCTTCCTTGCCTTCTATGCCTTAAGTTTCTTCAGCTTTCCATTTCTTGATTTAGTTTTATCAGGCTCATCTTTTAATGCCCATCTCCCAACTAGCGTAGTTCTCTCAGACTCTATTTTAAATATTTGGATTTTTTTCCTTCACGGTAGTTGGGTGATCCATCTGAACCTATGACTTTAATTACAACACCTATATGCTGATGACTATTAAACTTTATTTCCAGTCTAGATCTCCACTAAAACTAGAAATCTGTTTTTTTCAGCAACAGTATTTTTATTTGTAAATCATGCACAAAGGCCTATGAAATAGGTTTTCTTAGAACAGACCTATCTTGACTAACTCAGTGGCCCAATTCAAAAGTGAAAAATTAAGATATATTCTTTGTACAGAAGAGTCTTCAATAAACCCAAGGAATGTTTTCCACCAAGATACAAACTAGACCCTAGTTTTGCACGCAAAGGTTGATGACTTTTATCACACACCAAGATTTGCTTTAATAGTTAAGGGACAGCAGAGTCAGGCTAGCAAAAAGTCACCAAGACAACAAAACATTTCCATTTGAGAGTAGTCATTTATTAACTGACCAGATTACAAAAATAATCATGGCAGATACCTTAGTTCATCCTTCTAATAAGCCTATTGATCTGGTCTTCCCTGTTACCAGCATCTCCACCTCCTACAAAATGGGTGGTCTTTTTCTTCATTCCCCCTCGTGGAGAAGATAATTTGAAGGGCCATAAAAAGTTGTTTGCTTCTTTGAAACGTTTTCCAACAGTATAGATCTCATGAGTCAGATCCTCCATGCAGATGATGCCATATTTACCAAGAGATTGGGCAATCAACGTGTTATCTGTCAGGGCAATTCGCTTCTTGTTGATTTTGCCATAACCACGCTTGTAGATCAATTCATTTACTGACTTCAGGTTTGGGTACCCCCATGCTATATAAGGTTCTACAATCCTTAGCATGTTAACTGAAGCCTTGTTGAGCTTAACAAAGGTGCAATTGAAGATCTGGCGAAGGCGAAGAAGCTGCAACACCTTTCAAACCTTTGGGCTCACACCATTGATACCTCTGATCCTGATGACAAATGCCAGTTTGGGTTCCGCAGGTATGTAGAAGTTGCCAGCTTTTCTTGCCATCCTTGCCATTCGAATCTCAGTTCTGTACATCTGCCTATATTCCTTGTGGTAATGCTTAACTTTTTCATAGATAAGCTTCCTTCTTGCCTTTCGAAGCATCTTCTGAGCAAACTTCTTCCTCAGATGCTTGATCTTCAACTCTGTGAAATTCCTTCACTTCTTCTTAAGGGTTTCTGGCACAGCAGGAACCTTCTTTTTCTTCTCTTCTGCACCCTCCATGGTTCCAGCCAGAAAAGAGGACAAACTAGAAATCTTTTACTCAGCTAGCTATCCCATCTCTCTTTCCAAATGTCCCATAAATACCTCAAATTCATTATACTGAAAACTAAACTCATATTTGCTTCTATACATATAGGACATATTTTAGAAAATAATAAAAAACCATCTTCCACACAATTACCAAGGCCTTTCTCAATCTAGGACCTTTATTTGAACACACAAAAAAATTATTTCTCAATTTTTCCGAGGATCAGTACATAATTAATACTATTCCAGATGCATAGGAAATTAATCCATTACATATAATAGAAGCCTTAGGGCACTAGGGTTTAATTCTCTTGCAGAACTCAGTTGAGACAGGGCTCATTTACCTTCCATATCCATGAGCCAAGTTAGAAGATTTTACCTCTTATCTCTGGTATCCTCCATGCCTTCCTCCTTCACCTTTGCTGGCTAATGCTCTCATGCTTTTCTGTTTACCTACTCTAAGAGCCTACACAATTGGGTTGGCCCAAATCTAACTCTCTAATTTGATTTCCTGACATTTCCCTTTAGGCTCATTATGGGACAGCCATACAATGTGTACCGTACCTCCCTGAATATAATGCATTCTCCTGGGCTAAAGTCTCTGTACCTTTGCTATTATTTCCTCTCTCTGGTATCCCTTCAACCCCTTCATCGCATGAACTTTTTTTTTATTTAATTGCACAAGCAAGTGATAAGTACACATTCTTTAAAAGGATTCACACAATACAACAGAGTAAAAAGTTAACTATTCCTTTATCTTGACTTCTCTCTTCCAAATACCACACATATACACAAATACACTTTCTTCTCTACAGATAACTATTATTAACAGTCTGGTTTGTATCCTTCCAGACTAAATTCTGGAGTTAACTCCTCCTATTTGCTTCTATAAAGCTTTGGGTTTACCTTTATCAGAGTATCATAATATATTTTAGTTGTTTAACTTTTGGTTTATACCCAACCTTAACTGTAAAATCCTGAGAGTGGGGCTTTCTTTTTAATATTTATGATCCCCCATTTGTCACAGTGCTTCATACATTTTTGTTGAAGTATAAATTACAGTCTTTGTTCTCATTACAGTCTAGTGGGGAGACATAAATAATTCCAGGGGAAGAAACAGGGTATCTAAGAATCAAAGAGTTATGTAAAGAGTTTAGGAACTCTTCTAGGTAACATGACAGCTAAGCATCCAAATAAGTGTGAATATAAGTACACTAAAGGAAACAGAAATGTGTTCCACAAATAGAGTGGCACCACAATTAAATGTCAATGTGTGCTAAAAATTTTAAAAAGAGAACAAACTGATGGCTGGCAGGGAGGGGGGAGTGAAATGAGCAAAACAGGTAAAGGGGAGTGAGAGGTACCGGCTTCCAGTTATGGAATGACTAAGTCACGGGATGAAAAGTACAGCATAGGGAATATACTCAGTGGTATTGTAATAGCATTGTATAGTGACAAATGGTAGGTACACTTGTGAACACAGCATAATGTACAGAGTTATAGAATCACTGCATTGTACACCTGAAACTAATGTAACATAGTATGTCAACTACAATAAAAAAAAATAAAAAGAGGTGCTTGACTATTATTATATAACATTATTATATTAACATATACAAAGATTTTTTTCATTTTTTTATGGGCTAGGAACTTAATTATCACTCTAGTTATAATCTCTAATTATTATCTTGTTTGCAGAGAAACAAACTAAGGCTTAATGAATGTATCAGATATCATCAGTGGCCTGCCCATATGTGGCAATTACCATTAGTATTATACCAATGGTTTCCTATCTCAACCATCTTTCTGCCTAAAGGTTTTCTTTACCAACAGGAGCAGGCTACTTGAGGGAAGTACCAGCGAGTTAAGACTCCCAAGAATAACCCTTAACCACTGAGGGAGGGGAATTGATAGATAAAGATCCCAGTTTTCTTGTCCCTCAGTGAAACAATTCTGAGTTTATTCTATATAGCCTCTTAAAGGATCACCAGTAGAATTGAGTAACAATTGCCCTCAGTGGTAACCTGCTCATTAACACACTTTATTGGCTTTCCTTCCTTCCTTCTCTCACTTCCTTACTATGCTTCCCAAATTTCTTTGTATCCCTATCCTTGCCTCAGAGTCTTAGTTGTGGGGAAACCCAATTTAAGGTAAAGAAGTTGCTTAAAGTCATACATAGCTAATAAATAGTGAGCTTAGGTCCATTTGACTTTACATAACCCACATTCTATTATATTTATACCAACTTCTAATGTGTTTTGAATTTTCATTTTCCTATTCACTAAGCACATTAGGAAGGCTCACAATTAAATTTATATGCGGCATAAACTCAGAGAAGAGTGGGAATACAGAGGTTCAAGAGTAGAATACTAACTTAGAATATACATTCTTGACAGTGAACAAAATGAATTGCTAAATGAACATTTAGAAAAACATGTTCTATGCTTTATTTGTTCATAAGGTTCAGCAAATCTTAATTCTGGAATAAGTTAGCCATGGATACTACTGTGTACACTGAAAGTGCTTACATTTTGTTACCATTAAAGTCCCTGCAAAAGTAAGCTCATATACGAAGGAGAGGCTCTTGGATTTTACCTTAATTTGCACGTGGTAGGAAGTTGGTTTCTTTGCGGAAAGTGTTCAGATGTAAGGAAGGGTAAACAGGATTGTCTTAGTATTCCAAAGACTATTCTGGAAGGGCCAGAATAGGGCAACATTTTTAGATTTAGCACTTTCATCATCCTTTTAAGAAGATTCTTACCTTTATCAGGTACAAGAGGCTCCTCATAGCAAGCCAGAGGAGTTAACTAAAGCCCAGAGTCTTCCAGGGACTCTAGGTCCGAAAACGGTCATCAACTACAAAATTCCAAAGCCCAGTGGGTGCCAAAAAGGGAACGAGAGAATATGAGGGCGAAAGAGGGTGCCACTTCTCAGACCTGCAGTAGGTGACTCCACTGAAGCCAATCTCCACAGGAGCAAGAAGAGCGAGGGCACTTTTTCAGAAGTTTCGAAGCTTGCTGGGGCGGCAAGAATGAAGAAAGAAACAAGATCCGGTTGGAGCAAGTGAGGAGCTGCATAACCAAGGTCAACTACGGCTACTGCGGCCACGGCACTTGGGACAGCCTGGAGGTGAGGTGTGGGCTAGCCTCTCCGGGACTGGGCGGTGCCTTCCCCGGAAGTGGAGCCTCGCCGCCGGAAGCAGGAGCCTCACAGGCGAGAGTCAGGGCTAGAGGGCGGTAAACTCTGGGCGGGGGCTTCGGAAGTTGTAGCCTTACTCGGGATGGTTGTGCAAGTTGGTACCAGCTCCCGGGTTGAGGTAATCTCAGTGAAGAGGACCAAGCCTTCCAGTATGCTTCCAGTGGGCCCCTTCGAGTCAGTTTCTGTGGTTGCTGTTCTGTCCTCTGCTTCTTTTGAAGTAACCCGCTTCCACAGCCCACCAAACCCAGTGGGGTGTCCTGTCCTGGGTCGCTTCGCTTTGCCCCCGGCCCCCTCCTCTGGTGGTGAGAATTAAGAACCTTAAACTGGGTCTTCCCAGGACACACAGTATATTCTAGTCAGTTGCTATCAGCGTTTAATTCAGCAGTGTGTAGTGGATTTATTTATGCATCAAAGTCCTGAGAGAAATTAAACGTTAAAAGTCTGATTTGGATTTTTACCAACTTTGGTATATTGATTTCAGTAATTTTTTCAACCAACACATGGCACTGAGCATTTGTGTGTCAAATCCTGTGGAAATGAAATATTTTTTGCTCTCAGCCTCCAAGATAGGTAAAAATACTCGATTGGAACATACCAATACATCGTATATAATAAATTCAATGAGAATTTATTAAACATCTATTCTGAATTAAGCTCTGCTAGGTATTGGTCATAGCAAGTGAATCAATCTTTGGTCTAGAAATCTGAGCTCACCTTCTTGGTGGAAGGAAGAGACAGAGCACAAAACAATTATTTTTAAAATGTAAGATGAACACTTGGTAAATGCTACTACAAAAGATTCAGAACAATTGTGAATACAGGAGACAGAGAACTGAGTTATACTTCTAGAGAGAATAGGAAAGTCTTGGTAGAGAAGCAACATGTGTAGTAAGCCCTGGAAGAAGAAAGGTTATGTTTACAAGTGGAGTTCTGGCTTAAGGTTTGTACTTTCCAACAGAGCTAACTTGAGGTTTTTGCTCTGTTTTTCTCCAATTTTCTCTTGCTTTCCAGTCCACTTTGCCTTCCACCCACCTACAACCCAGTTCTGTTTTCTTGGAAGTAGCTTTGGCCAGGGTATATCACTTACAAATGATAATTACCTCTTATTAAAATACTTATTTCTTCATAAACAGTACTTGTAAAGAAAGAATTTTCATTTTTTTTTAGAATTTGTTTTAGTCAAGTCAATAAAGCACAGTTCCTGTGGCCCATCTGCTAGAACACAAAAATAGCCTCAGTATGCAGAAACAGATGTTTAAAATGGTGTTCATTAAAATGAGATTCCACCTGTAATAGAAAACAGAAAGTGGATGCAAAAGGAATGTTGTAAGCTGGCAGTGCTTGCTTTCTGCCTTCCATTCCCTTCGAAATGTATATTTGTCGGTAAAATCTTGCTTATAGGAATATACTTCTGGCTTTAATTTCTAGTGATATGGGTTGTTAGTAATATTGAAACACAATCATCCTAGACTCATTTGGAGGATAGCAATCATAAAAAAGAAAAAAACAACCCTCCAGGGTACATGTCCTCTTACTAGTGAACAAAATTATCTTGGGCAGAAAATTAATGACTATATTAGCAACAAAAATGAGCATTTACATTACACCTTCTGTGCCAGGTGCTTTATTGTATATTTTTACAAGAACCCTGTGAAGGAGACATTATCTTCATTTTATAGATGAGGAAATTGAATTATATATTAAATAACTGTCCAAAACCACAACTGCATTGGAATCCAAGACTCTCGGATTCTTAAGCCAATGTACGTTTTCCA